CCCCCCCCCCCCCCCCCCCCATCTCATCTACCTTGCTTCGTGCACCTCGTCTTTAACGGCGCAGAGACCACCTCGCCAAGCGGGACCTGTGGGGCCTAACGCAGCTATGGCAGGCCTGCGAGACAGAGGCTAAGAAGACATCGGGGCACAGCCACGTCTCGTGCCGGATCTACGAGTCCCGCCTCGATCTCCTACGACAGGAGGCCGATATCGTCGCCGGACCTGCCAGCAGACATCACTCGACAAGTGAGCAAGCAACGCGATGACCTTGTGTGTGTGTTTTTTTTTTTACATCAGACACCGGTTATCCAGTTAGCAGCGAGTATATATATTTGTTCTGGGTGTATGTGTAATCCAGATCCCGGCCTTGTCAGCAGACATTGGCCGCGCAGGGGACAAACAGCATGGTAGTTTTTTTGTCTCTATTTTGTTGTGTGTGCGTAACTGAAAAATCCGAGAGAGGTGTGATGTAGACTGGCGGCCACAGCAGTAGATACAATGGATGTTGCAGATACTTCGGCCTGCGTCCACGGAAAGCGTGCGCGTCGGTTGGACCAGCACGGGTGTATGCATTCATGTATGCCACTCCCGATTAGTCTCTTGTTCCCATATCATTCCCGCCGCAGGGTATAAGGGAGTGCAGCAACGAGGCCCCAAGTTATCGCGGTGGCTAGTGTTGTTTAGTTCGCGTTGACAAGTGTTCGGCACTCATGTATTTAGGTCGAGTTTTATGTCGATGATTATTCGCCATCCACGACCTCTTGACCATCGTTTCCTGTCTCATCCCGCCCCCATCCGCACTCTGTTTTTTTTTTTTTACCGTACCTTCTCACAGCTGCAAGGGTAGCCAGCGAGGCTACGCTCGACCTCGCGCAGGCGCTTGATATGGTGGCTGACTACCAGGCGTACCGCCGCTGCTGTGACGCCACCCCTCTCTACAGGGAGAGCATCGACTCCCTCCACCAATCTCTTGAGCTGGTTAGGATCCAAGGTACTTTGATCGGCTTGCTATGCCTGACGGCGTTTTGTTTTTGTCTTGGTCGATGTGTTTGGGTCATCTTGTCGCGTTCTTGGAAGCGGAGGTACCGCCAGCGTTCGCTCCCTCGCTCCTTGTAAGTAGTCTTCTTGGCAGGGGACGTCACGCCATTGTCCCCTACCTATGTAGTTCCTTGTGGGTCGCTTGGCGGGCGTGTAGGGTGGTGAGCGCTTCTATCGGGGACATTGCGAACGCAGTACCCACCCCTTCCGTTTCATAAGGACCACGTTTTCACTCTTCGTCCCACCTCCATGAGTTCCGCTGCATTTTTCTTTTTATTTGGCGGAGTCAGTTCAGGGAGGGGGAACACAGGTTCCTGTGGGGTCGATAGCTGAAAAGTCTAGACATCGCGCCTGACTGATGAAACCCGTGTCCACCTTCCAAAGGACAGACAGTGAATGGGGAACGGAATTTGTTGGACTGAGTCCATGCATGTATGATCGAAGCATCAGAAAGTCTCATTCCGCCGCTTTTTCTCTTTTCTTTTACAGGAGCGGGGTCGGGACCACTGGAGTCTCGAATTAAGCGAGCGCTGGAGCGGATCACCGGGAAGCTGGGCGCTCTGCTGCTGAAGCAGGGCAAGCACATGGACGCCCTGAACCCTTGCGCGGAGAGCCTGGTAAGTAGAGGTGGGATAGGGTAGTTGTTGTAGGGGCCTTGTGGGCTGCTGCTGGTGTTGCGAGCTCTGGGGTTGCTCTCTTTTTTTGCTGCCTGTGGTGGTTATGGCGGCGGCGGCGATGTTGCAGCTATTGACCACTTTGGTGGTGCTCTTGGCGTGGATGTTGCTGTTGGGTAGATCGGTCTAGAGGGGTAACTTTCTAATCCTCCCTCGCCCTGTGTTCTTGACGTCTTGTGGTGGTCGTGCAGACGTTGATTCGGGCTCGGCAGGGCACGAACTTGGGGCCCGAGGGGTCGAGCAACCTGGGCAGGAGCCACCTGCCTCACCAGGACGTGGTCGACTCCCTGTGCAGCATGGCGGAGGCGCTCATGAAGGGGAACAGCGTCGACGAAGCGGAAGGTGCTTCGGCGTTGTCATCGTTGTTGTTGGCGTTGGCGTTGGCGTGGGCGCTGTTGTTGATGCTGTTGGGGTGGTTTGCTTTGGCGTCAGCAGGCTACCATTATTCTGTACATGGCAACCTCCTGAATGTTGTCGCTATTTTCGATGCGGCGCTTTCTCGCAATTTCTCAAATCTGGAAATTGCACCGGTAATTTTCCCACGTGCACGACGACCAAACCCAAGTCGGCTAGGATACTGGCTCTGTGTCTTGCTGTTCCTCCACCCAACGATTGATAGTTATAGTGTTCGCCTCAAGACAAAATGCGAGGGAGCACTCCTGTCGCGCCTCGGACGAACCCAGGATTGCAAGTGCTACGATACTGTACCACTCGTGTCACACACACACACACACACACACACACACACACACGTTCACGTCGCACGTGTTTATTGCCTACTTTTTGTTTGTTCGCGCACGCAACGGTTGATTCTGCCAGGCATGTACGAGGAGGCCGCTATCATTTTGCGTCGCCTCTACGGCGATGACGAAAGCCTCTGCCTCGAGACTAGGGGTATCGAGCAGCTGGCCTCGATGATGTTGGAGGCGGGAAGGGCGGACAAGGCGGGAGGCAAGTCTCGTTTTTTTTTTTTTACAATTTGTGCATGTACCGGTAGGGCGAGGGGGGGGGGGGGGGGGGGGGGCCCCC